CTTCATGTAAAATTATCTCCACTAAAACAACTGACATGGTTTCTGATCTCCTGGCATGCACTGTCACTTGTGTTATTCCAACCTTTAGTGACGCCAGAGCAAAAGCAGGGTAGCTGCTGCAGAGGAGGAGGGAAGTGGGCCAGACTTCAGGGGGTTCTGTACTGAGAAGGTGGTGTGTCTCTACAAGGAGCTGCTGGAACACAACACTTGTGAGTCACAAGTGGGCGGTGAATTGCAGAAAGCCAGGAGGAAAGTTCTCCAATTGATGCAGAGAGCAACTGAAGGGCCTGAAGAACTGCAGCTCGCTGACTAGTGGCTAAGAAGGTGGACAGGTGTGAGTGGTCCTCTCTTGATTCCTCAGAACACACCTGTGAGCTACTGCAAAGAAGGAATACTTCTGCATGGGTTTTCTCTGCATGTTTGAGGTTGCTATCATAATTGGTGCAATGGACTGGACAGAATAACATAAATGCTTCAGATAACTCATTTTTATTTTGTCAGCGGACATTGGGGTCTTACTGTGCATGTATAGGAAAGTCCCTGCTGTCAAAGGGAAGTGAAAATATGATCGGCTACAATAAGAAACAGATTGAAATGTGGTAAAAAAAAAAATTGTAGTAAGGTTATTTTCCAGTTCCCTGTTTCCTATTATTAGTGAAGCAACTAGTCTGTAAACATTCTTGCCTCTTTGATGGCAGTTATGCAGACCTATTAGTGTTTTGAATATGAATGTAATTTACAGCATTTCCTTTCTTTGTCTTCGGAAATTTTTTGACAGTAGGTGTCCTACACACATACAAATGTCCTTCCTTCCTTCTTTCCTTCCTTTTCCTTCCTTTCTTTCTTTCTTTCTTTCTTTCTTTCTTTCTCCCTTTCTCTCTTTTTTTGAGATAGGGTTTCACTATGTATCCCTGGCCATCCTGGGATTCACTCTGTAGACCATACTGGCCTCAAACTCAGAGATGCACCTGCCTCTGCCTCCCAAGTGCTGGGATTAAAGGTATGAGCTGCCACCACCCAGCATAAATGTATGTCTTAAAGGAGTATTTAAAATGAACATCAATGTCAACCACTAAGGTCAGCAAATACAATCTCAAAAGCAGTCTGCACTCAGAGTCCTAACTTCACATAAATTCCTACTTGGGCCTTTTAAAAAATTACTATGCTATTGTTGTTGCCCTTTGCTGTGTGTGTACCTACAAAGTCAGCAGAGTTTGATTTAGCTGGTCTTTAATTTCATGTTCCCATATTCACCAGTTTGGATGCTGTATGAGGCATTTTCATCATAGCTGTGGCATAATGCCAGACAGCAAGAACACAGGTGGTTATTTTGGCTTAAGGTTTCAGCCCTTCAAAGTGGGGACGGCATGCACAAGCTCTTCACATCCGGGGTAACAGGAAAGCAGAGAATTCAGCAATAGGCTATAACCCTCAAAGGCCAGCCCCAATGACCACCTCTGCCAACCAGACTCCCAAGCACAAAACACCACCACCACCCGGGAACCAGGTGTTCAAACCCAAGCCTGAGTGTCAGATTTAACCTGTCACAGATGCATAAAAACATATGCTTCCTTCAGGTGAATGTCTAAAGGTGAGGTTGCTGGGAACTAAGGTGTGCCTGCATATCCAGATAATGCCAAACTGGTTCCCAAATGCTATCCAGTTCACACACTTGATAGTCCTTCATTCAGATAATTCCCTTGGCCCTTGGAACTGATGTGTATTTCTCTGTTCGCTGTTCCTTTGGGTGTTTTAGCTTTTTGAGACAGGCTCTCACCCTCCTTATCCTCCCTCTGACTGTCGTTGCTCCCAGGTGGCATCACCAACACATGGCCAACTTTTCACCTTAGGATGCCTGTGTGGTGAGTGTTCTGTCCTGGGTGGCTTTAATTTTCCCTCTTCTGAGTATTAGAGAATGAAGTTCCTTTCCGATGGAGGTCAAATGCTTATTGGTCACTTGTTCTCTTCTTCCCTCCCGCCTCTCTTCCCTCTTTGCCTCCCCACTCCAGTCAGCTACCCATTCACTGGTGTGTTGGTCTTGCCTACCATCTCAGCATCACTGAGGGACTCTCCCCTCCCTGCTTTTCCTCCTAGTGAGGGTCGGGGTGGTTGGGCCTGAGCATCCCGAGCCGGAGGTCCCCCGCGCCGCTGGGCAGCAGGAGTCCCGAGGCTCCCAGAGAGCGGGCGCGGTGTTGGCCCCGGTCTCCAGGCAGGTCCGGCGCGAGGGAGTCTCGGAGCCTGAGGTCCCGGAGGAAGGACCGCGCCCAGGCAGGGCCGCGATCCCCCAGGCCAGAGAGCCTGGTCCCCAGCCCCTTTATCCGGGCCTCCTACCCGCCACCTCCGAACCTTCCAATGCTCCCTGCAGCCGGTCCTGACCCTTAGAAAGAGCCAACGGCGGCGAAAACCCCGAAATCCCCATGGGACACCCACCCAGCCTGTTTCAAACACGGCAACTTTGGATCCGTTGTTCAACCTGAGCGGGCCTCCTTGTCCCTCTGCCCTAGCGGGTTTGTCCCCAAGTAGTGGCAGAGACATAAAGCTGGTGGTCTCTTAGTCCCTAGATACTAGGGACTGTGCCCATGCCTTTCTTGTTTACTAAGAAGTGGATTGATCGGGATTCTCAGAGGCCCAACCGTTGTTTTGTTTTGTTTTCCCCTTGTTTTGGTTTGGAGTTTTTGTATTACTAGAGATATTACTAGGGAGTTGCTCTTGAAATGTAGCCACTTACTGAATTTATTCCAGAAGTCAGCTCTTTTGCTATAATCTCTCTCTCTCTCTCTCTCTCTCTCTCTCTCTCTCTCTCTCTCTCTCTCTCTCTCTCTCTCTCTCTCTCTCTCTCTCTCTCTCTCTCTCTCTCTCTCTCTCTCTCTCTCTCTCTCTCTCTCTCTCACACACACACACACACACACACACACACACACACCCTCCCAGGCCTCCATAGAAAACCCAGTTTGGGGGATATTTCATTCTTTCACTTTCTTCCCAAATTTTATCAGTCTGTCAACAACAACTGAATTATCATCATATTTAGCCATTGCTAATTTATTACTACCAAGAAAGCTTGGGTTCTCATTTAAGAAAAGATAGAATGAAGGATCTGGATTATCATATGAAAAACAATTCTGAAATGAACTATGACTTTTTTTTTCTTGCTGGAGTTGTAGATTAAACACTGGGTCATGCTTGTTCTATCAGTGAGCTACACCTCCTACCCCTGACATTTTAAGCTTGTTTCTCAACATTTCAAATACAGTGACTTTGAATAAACAAAACTGGTGCTTGTAGTGACTTAGATTTTTAAAATGTTTTTATGCTTGCTTCTAAAAAAAATACCATAAAAAACAAATCTGTATTAAAACATGACAGGAATGTGATTGATCATATGTATTAATAAGAGACTGCAGGCAAACTCATCTAAAATTAGGCAGTGATTTATTAGTAAAGAGGGAACTTGGAGTTAAGCAGAGAATCATCCCATGTTTGTTAAGTATGAACACTACCTTTTGTCTGTTGTGTTTGTTAGACGATTTCATCCAAGGACTGCAACGTGTCCTTGGAAACCCTAGCAACAAGGTCAATATAATAGTAATTCAAGGAACAGAAATCAGGTCAAGGTATTTAATTAAAAACTGGTTTTGCCAAAAGAACATGAGCAAGGCAGTCAAAATAAATATGAGCATAGCTCCAATGGTAAAGGTTTCAGACTCTGTCTCTGTCTCCCCCACCCCACCCCACCCCCGCCTCTCTCTCTCTCACACACACACACACACACAGTATAAAGGCGGTGTGAGAGAAGATAAACCAAAAGAGAAACACTGGGTAGAGATGAAAGGAAAACCAACCCCAACCATCATCTTCCAATCCTGCATGAACTCAAAGCATTTTTCTGTAAACCATCTCATGGGTCACCATTGTAGCCCCCGGAGACAGTGAGGGTTCACTTGGAATCACACTCTTAAGTAAGTTAGAAGGAACAGACTCCACTTACTTACTGCATGCTAGCCATTCTACCTACCTACCCAGCTCAAGAACAGCATCTGTTCCAGGTAGGTGGGCATCCAGCCTGTGTTTTGAGTCAGTAGGTGACAGGATTCACAAACAGTTTGGTGATTGTTGTTGTTGTTTCCTTGTTTTTAGATAGGTTCTCATGCAGCCAAAGCTGGCCTCCCACCAATGCCTGACCTCCCTCGCCTCTCCAAATGCTGAGCTCACCAGCATGCACGGACATGCCTTGTTTATTGAACATTTTTAACCATTGCTGTTACATTGCTGTTGTCGTCTAATACTGAGCTGAGATTGATCTCCATATAATGGCCACCAAATTATACACTCTTCTCTAGCAGCATCCTGAGTAGCAAAAGCCTTTTCTAAATGATGGAGCCAGCTGATGCTGGTCTAGGAATGAAACAGTCTGTGTATTACATTCTGGTGGGAGAATGCTTTTCTCTACTTTCTAAATGGTAAACCCTAAACCTGTTTGAGTGCATCTGTGGCTGCTGCTGAACAGGATGTGAACACACACACACACACACACACACACACACACTTGCCCTGGGCATTTGAAATAAAGCCACCAAAAGCACTGCTCACAATTAACCATTTGGCTTTGTTCCGGCTTGTTTGTAAGGAGCCCTTGGAAGCTGGAAACAGAATCTGCTTCCAAGCAGCCATTTGATTTCCTCAATAAAACCTCATTCGATGACTCAGGCCGCTTATGGGCCCTAAATCAGATGTGTTTCTGCAGAGAGAAAAACAATCATTTTTCCAATAGGACTTCCTTGCTCATACACTCAAAAGGGTGCATTCGACAGCCTGCAGATAATGTAACAAGGTTCTCTTGCTCACTGACGTTTTTTGACAAACATTGCCATTATGATTTCAGTAGCCACAGAGTAACGTAAATATAATTTTTAAGCAATGCATTTGATAGCCACAATTATAAATGTCAGCTAACTGCTCTGTTAACTCATGTGCTCCTGTCCATGTTTCTGTTTTTCAGGATGAGTAAATATAAACCAATTCCCAAGCTCTCCATGCAGTCTCCTGTCCATCATACCAGTTCAAGGACCCAGTCCTCAAACAGACCCTTCAAGAAAGAAGACTTAAGTCGGATTTCAAACGACTCCTTAGAATCAGATTCAGAAAGCCTCCCTCGAGTGGTTAAGTCTCAGTCCGAAGTTGAGAACAAAAACATGGAGCCTGACAGCTTAGAGGAGGAAAGCCTCAGTGAGGCAGAAGAGGAAGTGAACAGAAAAGCAGCCCACAGGGCCGGCAAGGAAGACCTGGGAGCCCATGGTGGTGTGAATCACAGGTAAGGAACTGGCCTGTGTAAGGCCTGATGCCAACTAATTTCTAATACCTGTCCAGGTGAGACAGAGTGGGTTGTCATAGTGAGCAATGTGCAAAAGCCGTCTCCAAGCAACTAAGAGATGTGGTCCTTGATTTCACCACATTCTCCCCACCTCTTCTTCCTCCTTCTCCTTTTCCTCCACTTCCTTCTCCTCTTCCTCCTCCTTTTTTTTTTTTTTTTTTTGTGACAGGGTTTCTCTGTGTAACAGTCCTGGATGTCCTGTCACTTTGTAGACCAGGCTGGCAGCGAACTCACAGAGTGCTGGTATTAAAGGCAAGCGCCACCACCACCCAGCCCTCCTCCTCTTTTATTAAGCAATGTTGTCCTTATTGACTGGGTGTAGGAGCCTCAAGAACATACCTAGAGTACCAGGAGACCCTTCTGTAGGTCACCAGGCATAGCCACTGGTCTTAGTAACTCTTCTTGTTACTGTGGCAAACTACCTGGCAGAAAAAGAAGGATTTATTATTTTCATGGTTCCACAGTCTGTCATGGTGGGGAAGACACAGAAGCTGGAGAGACTTGGTCTGTGATGGAGGATGCTCAGGCTGCAGCTTCCTGCATAGAACCAGCAGGAAGCAGAGTCCACTCACTGGACCCTGAAGTAGGTGTTACCATGGATGCCAACTTGCAAAGACCTGCTTCTCCTAGCTAGGCCACATTTGCAAAGGTTCCACAACCTCCCAAAATAGAGCCACTAGCTGTGGAGCATCTCAAAAGACTAATCCCTGGTGGACAGTCATGGAGAGGTCTCTAAGAGCCGAAATTAGCCCCTTGACCTGAGCCTTTTCCTTCTTCCTCTCCTTCATTTCACTGGAGATGTCAAGTTAAATGAAACTTGTCTTCATATTAGGGAGTCTCAAAAATCAGAAAAAACATAACTGTTGTCGCCAATAGGCTGAATATAGTTGTTTTTTTTTTTTTAACTCTTTTACTCTTTTGCTCTTGGGGGTCTGCCACCCAGGTCTCAAATAAATCACCCGGAGTCTTATTCTTTCTTATGAATGTCCAGCCTTAGCTTGGCTTATTTCTAGCCAGTTTTTCTTAACTTAGATTATCCTGACTACCTTTTGCCCCTGGGTTTTTACCTTTGTCTATTTCTGTATTTCTTTCTTCATTCTCTGTGTCTCGCTGTGTAGCTGGGTGGCTGGCCCCTGGAGTCGTCCTTATCCTGCTCCTCTTGTCTCCTCCCAGATTTTTCCTCCTCTTTATTCTCTCTGCCTGCCAACCCTGCTTATCCTTTCTCCTAACTAGATGTTGGCCACTCAGCTCCTTATTAGGTCAATTAGGTGTTTTAGACAGTCACAGTAACACCGTGTCACAGGGTTAAACAAATGCAACATAAAAGAATGCAACACATCTTTGCATCATTAAATGTTCCACAGCATGAACAAACATAACACACCTTAAAATAATATTCTACAACAACTGAATGCAGAAAAGAGTTTAGCAGGACTTTAGCTAAACACACTGAGTCAACTGGGGGCAGAGGGGACAGTATGATGAACCAATTTTTCTGGAAGCTGGTGCCTTTAAATTACAGAGGGGGTATTACCAACTGCAGACGAAAGCTGCTGCTAATAATGACTATTGAACAGTATCAGTACTGTAGAATCTTTTAAAGGCCATTTTGAAGTTCTTCACTGTAATTCTGTAGGGAAGGTGTTGTGGTCTCTACATTAAAGTTGGGAAAATGAAACTAAATGAGAAGAAATAATTTGTCTAAGGTTATAGTGGATTGAAGGCATTTTTGCTTTTGTTATTAATGTCATGTTTTATTGTTTCTGTTTGTTTTGTGGTACTATGAATCAAACTCAGAGCCTTGGGCATAATAGGCAAGCACTCTGCCACTGAGTCAGATCCATACCTGTAAGCTTTTTGACTGTGAAAAATATCTATCCCACCCAAAAAAAAAAAAAAAATACTGGGGAAAAGGTGACATAACTCAATGCCATATTTATATTAGATTATTTTACAGTCATAAATATAATTTAATCATTTCATGATTGGGGCTAGAGAGATGGCTCAATGATTAAGAATCTGTGCTGCTTGTAGAGTTTGGTTCCCAGCACCCTCAACAGACAGCTCACGGCTGCCTGCAGCTCTAGCTCCTGGGAATCTGACACCTCTGGCCTCTGAAGGTGCCTGCATTTAACTGCAAATACCTATTCACAGATACACAGAGTTACACATGTCTGAAAAAGAGAAATACAGTTTCCTTGTACCCTTCCCATGTCCTTTCCCCAAAGATATACTGGTGTGGCTGCACATCCTTCTTGTCGCCTGTTTCCTTGTCTGTTTCTTTCATGGGTGCCTGTAATTGGTGATGATATATGCATATATATGCAATATCTCTATTCTCTTCTGTACATTGTGTGGAAGTAGAGCCTACCCATCTCCAACTGTAAGTTCCTCTCTCACTGCTGTGATCACAGACTTGACAAGAGGCACCTTGAGGAATGAAGAGTTGGTTGGCTCACAGTTCCAGGGATACAGTCTATCCCCACAGGAAGGTCACAGCAGCAGGAGCTTGAGGCCTCTGGTTTTATGGCATCCACAGTCAGGAAGCAGGGAGGAGTGAAGGCTACTGGTCCACTCATCCTCCTTTTTATTCGTCCAGTGGTTAGGATGGGTCTTCTCATGTCCGTTAACTTAGGAATCCCACACAGCTATGCCCAGCTGACATTAACCATCACATCCACTGATGAATATATTTAGGTTCCTCCAATTCGTATTTCACACAAGTGTCTGTGTGCATCCTTCTTTGGCTTGTTGCATATGAGAACTCCATTCTGAAATGGAATCATAGAATCTTAGGAGAAAGGATATGTGCCCACCCTGCCTGTGCATTCCCAGACCTCACAACTGTCCAGACATCTTAAACCTTTGTACTCTGAGAAGGTATAAAACATTCTACTTTTGGTAAATTTTAATTGCTTGTCCCTCCTCGTGACCTCTATGTTTTAGCCAAAGGTCAATTTAGGCATCATCTTCAATGCCTGATTCATTTCATTTAATTCATTCCATTCCATTTAAAATAGCACATTTTTCTACACTCGAAATTATGAACTTGTGTCATGTTACACAGTATTCCAGTGTCTAGAGATGTTACAGTATGATTATCTGAGACCATGGCTAGATACCAGCATCCTGGTTGATTTGGTTTTATTATCAATGTTTATATATGAAAGAATTGACAGAGCTTGGTGACATATTAGGTTCAATGGTTGAAGGAATAAAGGAAGCCCCTAAGTAAGTGTAATAACCATTACCATGTATAGAACTTCTCTCATGAACCCATCATTGTACTACATGCTTTACATGGGTTACCTCTTGTGGGGTCCTAGTAGGTAGATACTATAGTCAGCCCTCTTGAAGGTTGTCAGTGAGGCTTCAAGAAGTTGCCTTAATGTCCACTCATTGTATCTAATGAGTACTTGATCAAAATACTCATGGAATCTGGCTTGGTTCTCTATGTTTTTATCCTGGCTCTGATGTGGGAGATCTGTAGTCTTCATGATAGTAAATGATAATAGCTTTACTTATAGAAATGAGGACATCAGGGACTGGAGAGATGGCTCAGAGGATAAGAGCACTGGCTGTTCTTGCAGAGGTCCCAAGTTCAATTCTCAGCAAACACATGGTGGCTCACAGCCATCTATAATGAGATCTTATACTCTCTTCTGGCCTGCAGACAGACCTCTGTATACATAATAAATAAACAAATCTTAATAAATAAACAATTTAAAAAAAAACATGAAATGAGAACATAAGAAAGGAAGTCTTTTTGTTGTTTCTCATGTTTTTCTTTTTATGTGTCAGAGTGGTTTTGCCTGTGTGTATATCTGTACATCAATATGTGAAGTGTCCACAGAGACCAGAGGAGGATGTCAGATCCCCTGGATCTGGGATTAGAGATGGTTGTAAGCTGCCAAGTAGGGGCTGGGAATCTGATCCAAGTTCTCTACAAGATCAGCAAGAGCTCTGAACCAATGGCTCATCTCTCCAGCCCCCAAGTCTGCTGCATTGTGCGGTTTTCTTGCCTGACTCCACTGAATGGCCTCATTTCCCCAGTTGTTGACTGTTTCCTCCTTTTGTCCCATGCTCAGCAGGCACCATACTTTAGTTTTGTTCAAACTGCCCAGAAATAATTTGATTACGTTCTCAGAAAAGAGTGTACTTCCAAAAGTCAAAATTATGGTTAGATGCTTCATCTTTTGGTTCAGAGGCCTTTAGATAATTCTGTTTTCCTCCAATTGCCCTGCCTTGGCAATGTTTAATGATAGACTGTAAACTGAAGATCAGGGTTAAAATGGACTACACTTAGTACCTGTTACAATACAGTGCCCCACTCACTGGATGTAAAAGGACCAGTTCCACACTACAAAGGAAAACAGAACTGAAGGATTTGTCCAAATAATGGCTCAAAAATGTGATTCAAGTGTGGTCAGGTATCGATCCTTTCTCTGCCCCATATTAGTTATACGGTCCTTTCGTAGGTGTTCTGTCACTCAAATCTAAGTAGTTATGAGCCATGACACAAATAAATTGATCTCAGGTTCTCAACATAAAATTGAAGCAGGCTTTCATTTCTATAAGGTAGACGGCATTCTGGGGATTGTAGTTCAAAAAAAAAAAAAATTAGTCCAAGCCTGACCTTAAATCAAGACAAACATTTCTCTTGCTTTTATAGGCAATAGTTTTAAAAGCTGCCTGGCAAATCACTTAGCCCCACACTTGTGTTTTGATGTGACGAACCTCCAGGAGTCAAAGCCACAGCTCAGGGTCTATGGATTAGAGAAAACCCTTTACTTAATGGAAATTGGAGCAGCGTTGACAGTGGTGAATGGATCAAGAGTGGAGAGAGGATCTTCACGCGATAATCCTTAAGTCCCATTCTGGAAGGAGCCTTATGACACTTGCACTCATGAGGAAGCAGATCAATGTAATGCCCAGGCTGTCAGAAATAGCCTCTTTAGTCCTGAAGCCTTCTGAAGCCTTGTTTAAAAACAAGAAGGAAAATCAGAAAGCAGCCATCCATCCGTACCTAGCGTATGTGCTTAAGAAGGTCTTGCTTACAGGAATATTTATACGATTCTTTCAGCTGTAGAGCTACTTGCTTCGTATGCTAGTTCCTCTATCTTAGTCAGAACCTCTAGATAGGCTCAGTTTAATTAAAAACCAGTTTTTTTAAAAGCCCAGTTTAATAAAAACCCAGTCCTTAATGAGGTGCTAGGGAGTGAACTCAGGACTTCACATGTGTGAATCTCACATGTTACTTTGCAGATGAGAAACTGAGGCTCGAGGACATGCACAGAGCCCGTAAGCTATTCTAATTATGAATATGTAATCATGGGTCTAAAACGTCTTCCCATCAAATACTTGCTTAGCACCAAGCCTGATAACCTGAGGTTGATCCCCAGAACCCAGGCAGGAGGAGGAAAGAACTGACTCCCACAAGTTGTTCTCTGACAGTGTACACCCCACACACATAAAGTGAGTGAGCCAATGTAGTAAAATGAAATACATGATCATGGACTCCACTTTACTAACTACTAAAACATTAAAGAGAGGGCTGTTGAAGTGGCTCAGCAGGTAAAGGCATCTGCTACCAAGCCTGGGGACCTGAGTTTGATGCCTCCAGACACACATGGGGGAAGGAGAGAACAAACAACCAAAAGTTGTCCTCTGACCTCCACACCTGCACTGATTGACATGTGCACACGTACACACGATAATAATAATAGTAATAATAATATAAAGACTGAAGATAGAACAATCTCAGGGTGGACTAATCTGAAGCCAGAGTAAATGTGCATGTGGAATTATGCATTTTTATAAAGCAACACAGTTGTCTAAAGGATACGGAGTCCCCTGAATAAGTAGACAGTTACTGTATTTCTCCTTGGGCAGTTAGGTCAGGGGTCACATGAGCCTTTATGCTTCAGCAATTCCCCTGGGACATAGCATTGTTTCCGCTAGAGTGCTCTGTGGTAGTTTCCTCTCATATCACCTGGAAACCACAGTATCAGTATGCAAAGGATTTGTGTCCTGTCTAAGGATGCACCGTGAGCTAGGTAGGTTTTCACGGGAAGCAGGTAGCATGGCGAGCCATTACTAGGTAAGCATTCAAGAACTGTTGGAAGGGGCGGGGGACTGACTTGGTAATGATCAACTTTTTTTAAAACTGTAGGATACATTCTCCCCACCCTTCTCTTGGGTGCTTTAAAGTATGTCGCTTCTAGTGATAATAAAACTATCAGGAAAAGTATTGGATGATGAATTCTAGGGCTTGAAGAGGAGTATGAAAGTGTCAAAACAAACGTGGTCGGTAAAGAAAACCTTAGTGATGATCAAATATCGGGAGTTTCCTTTCCTCCCAAATTTCTCCAGCTGTTTTCTAGAACTTGGGAAATATTTAAGTTGAGACTAGAATCCTTCCTGTTAGCATTCAAGAACTGTTGGAAGGGGTGGGGGACTGACTTGGTAATGATCAACTTTTTTTTAAACTGTAGGATACATTCTCCCCACCCTTCTCTTGGGTGCTTTAAAGTATGTCGCTTCTAGTGATAATAAAACTATCAGGAAAAGTATTGGATGATGAATTCTAGGGCTTGAAGAGGAGTATGAAAGTGTCAAAACAAACGTGGTCGGTAAAGAAAACCTTAGTGATGATCAAATATCGGGAGTTTCCTTTCCTCCCAAATTTCTCCAGCTGTTTTCTAGAACTTGGGAAATATTTAAGTTGAGACTAGAATCCTTCCTGTTCCTTATAAGGGTTGTGGATTTTTTTTTCAGCAGTTGGGAACATAAGGAAGACATTTAAAACTGGTTCTAATATTCTAGAGATATGAAGACCATTCCAGAAGGTTCTGGGAATTAACTTTCATTCTTGCTCACTTTTAATGTTATTCATCTATGTTAATTTATATTGTCTCTTGATAGGTAAACTTTGAATTGGAGGCCATTGGTTGGCCAATCTCTTTAAATTTGTTACCCTGTATACCATGTTCTAGGGGTCCTAAAGAATTTGGGGCGGGGATAGCAGCTGAAACCTGAAATAAGACTATGTGGGAAATTGTTATATCAGAGTGGTGCTTTCTGTTGTAGGTATTAGCTGTTTCCGCTTTACACTCATTCATTGTCTCACTAACTTCTTAGTTAAACCCTGATGCATTCCTTGGAGCAGGCGTGGTGCCATCATGACAGGTGGACTGTCAAACAGAGAATAAGGAGTGTGTGGGAGCATTGGTTGTGTTTATTAAAGGCCAAGCTCCAGCCAGAACTGCTGTGGAGGCTCATTGGGGGCTCTCCACTGTCGCCCCCCAGAGATATATGCTAGTTCCTTACTCATTTATTTTCAAAACTGGGGTATGTTTTTCTGCTCAAGTAAGTAAAAGTCAGTTAAAAAAAAAAAAAAAAAAAAAAAAAAAAAAAACCTTAGAAGGTACAATTTCTTACCCACAATCCTGTGAGTTTAGCAAGAAGATAATAGCAAGTTACTAAAGAGATAGTTCCATTTATGACCTATTTACATCTCCTCGAAAATTGAAAAATATAGAAAACTTTGATTAGTATAATTTTCAACCTCTTTTTTATTTTTCAAGACAGGGTTTTTCTTTGTAGTTTTGTAGACCAGGCTGGCCTCGGACTCACAGAGATCCACCTGCCTCTGCCTCCCAAGTGCTGGGATTAAAGGCATGTGCCACCACTGCCCAGCTTCAACCTCCTTTCCTATAATAATAATAATAATAATAATAATAATAATATCTTATTTGTTTGGGGGAGCACACATATCATGATGCAGTCACAGAAATCAAAAGATGGCTTTTGGGGCTCGGTTCTCTCCTATCACGTGAGTCAGGAGAATAGAATACCTTTACTTGTGGAGCCATCTGGTCATTTGAGGCAGACTCTCACTGTGTAGCTTAGGCTGGGTTTGAACTCATGGAAGTCCTCCCTAAGAGCTGAGATTCCCACTGTGAGTCATCAAGGCCAGTTTTATACATTTTTAGTTTTAGTTATTATAATCTTGCTAGTATAATTTTTAATGTATTGCATTTAAATTAAGAGCTTTTCCCCAATATTTACCAGCACTGAGAAGTTGTGCAGAATAGGCCCGCCTTAACTCATACAGTGATAGATGTTTAGAACATTTATTAGAGTCTGGAAGGTCAGCCACTTTTCCTGTTGTACAAAAGGAGGAACCATGACCTAGAGAAATAAAGAGACTTGCTCAAGCTCACAGCCTTAATCAGTCAGTGGCAGAACCTGGCCACAGGGTGTCTTAGTTGCTTTTCTATTGCTGAGTGGAAACACTGTGCCTGAGGGAACTTGCTGTAAAAAAATCATTTAATTGGGGGGGTTCCTTACAGTTTCAGAGGTTGAGTCCATGGTCATCATGGCAAGAAGCATGGTGGCAAGCCGGCATGGCACTGGAGCAGTAGCTGAGAGCTTACATCTGATCAATAGGTTCGCCTTGAGTTGAAATTAGTCCTAGCTATAAGTTGGGACAAATGCCTGGTTATAACAGGCACAAATCTGTTGTTGAAACCTAGTGTGGTTGTGCACACCTTTAATTGAAACACTTGGGAACAAGAGGCAGGTGGATCTCTGTAAGTTCAAGGCCAGCCTGATCTACATAAAGAGTATGTAGCCAGGGCTACATGGAGAGGCCCTGTCTCAAAAAACAAACAAACAAACAACAAAATAAAAAAAAACAGCAGCAAAAGAACACAAATCTGTCTTGGGGGGAGAAGAGATTTGGTTCAAAATTATCTAAATGTAATTGCTGTAAGCAAAATTCACTAACAATTAAACCCCCTTCATTTGAGTGTGTTTCTATAGAAGTTTTTTTTTTTACCTTCAGTTCATTAATCTATTATTTTTCAATTAAAATGTTGGATTATTTATGTGAAATACATGTCTCCATTAAATGAAAATGTATGGGTTACAAATAGTCTCCACAAAGTGTGTCTGTGGGATTATTTTATTTCATACGTGCAAAGGTGACTTTTTAATCTTTTGGATTTGTTGCATTTTATTTCCTTACACCCTATTGATGAGACGAGCAAGGCAAGGCAGGATTTAGGAACCCTCAGAAACAATCATGTTTTGTGGTCCCTTTAAAGAGCATCACAAACTCTACACTTAAACAAAAATTGAATTTGCTGCTCGTGTGCATAAAAGATTTAATGGCATATAAATTGGGAATAATTATTCTGTTTCAAAGGATTAAATGAAACCTAAATCAGTAATAATATGTGCAGTTTCAATCTAACTGCCTGCTTAACATAAAGTGGCAAATAAGCAACAGCTAACTGACGAAGGGTTTCGCTTTTATTCCCCTCCTCAACAGGCAAAATGGGCAGTTATTGAATATTTTATTGTGAGTGCAAAGGATGTTAATTGAACTAGAAACATGCTCTAATTTTAGTAATTTTTTGATTGAATACAAACCGAGTATGAGGCTCTTCATTAAATGGAGATTTGATTTTATTTTGTTTGAAGTTATCACAGCATGGACTCAAACATGGTCCATTAAAGGCAGCACAGACCCCACCAAACGCATGTGAGATGCCCCCCCCTGCATCCATTTCTAACCCAAGCCCCTGAAGAGGAGCCCCGACATCTGTTGTCTGAAGGGTAACAAAGGAGTAGTGTGCCCATTGTCTGTGTGACCTTCCTGTCGGATGAGGAGGGGAAGAGGTGCATGTTTTGTGTGCAGATGATTGCCCGTGAAAGAGCACTTCACACTCATTTTGTCCCTGTGTGTTGACCCAGACTGCAAAACACAATTGGGCTCCTTAGCACACGAGCTCAGTACAATGGGGTCCTTTAGTATCATGTTCTGTTTCAACAATTCAATTTGTTTCTGGGAAGCATTACAGGTTTTCATGCACATGATTTTGAAAGGAAAAAAAAGCCTCCCATTAGCTTTAACATGTCTTCTATTTGAAACAGGCAAGGAGATGTCTGGAGAGAGCCATTGCCCGTATACATGGCACTGTGTGGTTAAAGCTGTTGGGGGAACCATGGTTGATTTGGTTTTATTTCTGTGTAATACACACTTTCCTTGGTGCTTCCCTTCTAACAATGAGTTTGGAAACATGTTTTTCAGCAGCTCGTCTCTTCTTGTTTGTTCCCAGTCCCTTTGGTATTGTCTAGTTTCTGCTTAAAACGTCAAGCTCTGTAGGCCTGATGATCCTCCAAGCTGCCATTTCTTTAAAGAAAATCTGTTAGCACCTCAAATTTAAGGATTTTCTGGAAGGTACAAAACAATTCAGCTCTCTGACTGGTATCTCCCTCATCGAGTTTTAGTGGCTGTTAAAATTCTTCATCATGTGGATTCACTGATATTTCTTAACCCCATTTCCTAAATTATGGTTCAGACATTTCCCACAGAACCTAAGTTGTGACTAAAAATATGGATTTTTTAAAAATCTGGGTGTTATGTCTTTCAGGCCACTAGGGCACAACTTAGAGCCTCGTACCCTTAAAATATCTTAAGCCCTGTGGGGAGAAGGATCCCTTGAGCTCCATCAGCAGGAAGCGTAGTACACAACAACTGTGTTATGTCCTGGAGACTGAGTGCAGTGGGCAATGAGCAAAACCCGGCAACAGAGCTCATTGCTGTGTTCTCCAGGCTGCTGTTTATTCCATCCTTACTCTGTGCCAGGCACAGAAGTTAAATAGGCATTCACAAAGTAACCAGTGGCACCAGAAGTTAAGGGTGGTGATTATGTTCTAGAGCTGTTGTCCTTGCTACACTCAACTGTAACATCTCCCACAACCACAAAACTCCATATCATCGTGCAGAGAAGGAAGGCATCATGCCTACAGGTGGCTGTTGGCAATCACTGTGTGATGCTGGTTCAATGTCGTAAGCAGTCGGAGTGCTGCAGTGCTTCCAGTGTAATCACAGGGTAAAATGGGGGGGAATACACTCCCGTTAAGTATCGGAGGCCCTTGTGTTATCTTTCCATGAGTGTGATGAGATTCTTAAAATAGACACCTTAGAAGGAGGAACATCTCTGAACTCTCATTACCACGGCACATGACCCTGCTTCTTCAGGCCTGTGTCAATATCGAGGCAGGAGCACCTGTGAGAGGAAGTCTGTTAACCCCTATGGAGCCCAAGAAACAAAGAGGTAGCAAAAGCTCCAGTAGCCCAAAGGGCATGGCTCCAGTGACTTAGCATCCCCATAAGGCCCCATCTCCTAAGGGTTCAACCACTTCTCAGTACTGTCACAATCTGGAGACCAAACCTTCAACACATGGACCTCTCTGGGGCATTTAAAATCCTAACTATAGCAACTACCTTTAAAAGAAAATACCAGATGTTACTTAGTTATACCAGAAAGTGAGTTAGTTATCTTAGGCTCCCAGGATGACAAGGTTGGAGTGGATTTTGAGATATTATTGAACAACTGAATATGGATCTCCCTGGAACTAGAATTACAGGTGGTTATGAACCATTGTGTGGGTTCCAGGTACTGAACCCCAGCAAGTGCTCTTAGCCATTGAGTCATGGCTCCAGCCCAGTGATGTTCCATTGGTCACCAAGAAGATGGCTCTAAATGCCTTCAAAAGAATGTGTGTATAAGGCTGACCTGAAGCTCATCCCTTTGGCTGTCCCTAATTGACTACCAGTCTTCTCTCTGTAATTAAGCACTCAGATAATTTAGCTAAGCCCAAACTCATCCAGAGTTATGAGGTCCTTACAAATCTGACTTCTGGTTAACCTTGAACTCCAAGCCTTAGCCTTCCTCCTCTCTGTTTCCCCTTCTCTGCAGAGCTTCTGTTCTTGAGAAGCCACGCTGCTCTATCCCCTCCACTCCTCTTTACTGTTGTTCTCTCAGCCTGGTGCACATTTCCTTAGCCTTAGGTCGGGGCCATGACTTCCCACAGAAAGCTTTCGCCAGCCTCCTGAGAAGCAAGCACAGGTCCCTCCTGAATCCAGGTGGCCCTGTGGTCCCCACCAGAGCAAGCATCACTCCACAGTGTTCATTGTTGGTTTTCTTTGTTTCCCCAACGCTGTGCTACTTAACCACTGTGTCTCCCCAGCCTACTGAGTGTTCAGGAAACACTTGTCCAACCAACCAGTGAACTAATGAGTATAAGAATAAAGTTAAATTCAGTCTTTCCCTTCAGTAAACCACAGATGTGGGGATACAACCTTGGTTTGTTTGTTTTTTAAAGTTATATTTGCTTGAAGATAATAATTGAGCTTTCTTCTCCATGTAAACAATTGCAACTGAACCTGAGGTCACTTAGTAGAAGATAAACCCTAAACTCATTCACTAATTTGCCCCAGCGCAAAAAGTGTCTTCGTGTTAAGATTTTAATCATGTTGCTACGTTTTTAAAATAAGTTATCAACAGCTGTATTTGTGTTGGAGCATTTATGGAGATCCAATTATTTACTCTAGAAGCATTTAACTCGTTATGTCCTAGAGCACTGCCCTGTACTAAGGCAAAGATTAGGGAAGGAAGGCACACTGCAGTTCCTGAAGCCCAGGACATTATTTAGGCAAGAACATCCATATGTGCATGTATGCAGGACACTTTAAGATACACGGCTTCATGCATCTTTAGTCGGTGGTGAGAAGTGGAAGAAATACAACAGTCCAATTTGAGACAAACTACCTCAAAAAATGAAAGGTGTCCAAATACAGACATTTGTAGGACAGACAAGCCACAGGAGGGACGTACCCATCATGGCCCTAACAGGCCATCTTGTGGTGTCGCTGTGGGAGAAACCGTGATGCCTCACTTCCTCAGAGATGAATCATTGTCCCTCTGGAGTTTTGTTGGGGAAGAGCCTGTCTAGGAAAAGGAAAAGTCATCTACATGGAAACATTTTCTACCTTCTTAGGACAGCTGAAAAACTCACAATGAAAACTTAGTAAAGCCGACAAGTATTGGCTTCTTGTCCAGTTTTTGCTTTACATTGAATCAAAGAAATCTAGATCCACATTAAGATGGATAAATTAGAATTATAGAGACCATTAGTTTGTTTACCCAGCATAAAATTACGTCCTCTGTAAACGGGAATATCAAATAGCATAAAAAGCTGGGTGATTCACATTCTCTTTTTGATTAGAGGACTACATCCACTGTCCTCAGCAAGGGAAAAATCTCTCCCATTTAGCTTCTGAAGATCAAAGAGGCCATTAAAATATGCCATATTACCAGCTTTCTTTATTTTTTTTTTCTTTTTCAGTTAAGGCTAGAGGGCTACTTTACAAATTGAGACTGCCATGGCAGAAAGAAATACTTTGTTTGGGGTCTCGTTTACTTCCCTCAGACAGGACCATGTGCTTAACCTTAATTAAATGAGACTGTCCTAGAGCTTGAGGCCCAAGCTGACCTGTCCCCTGAGGTTCCTGTGCATGGCCCTGACAATCAATACACTCTGAGTTACAGTCTAAGCCTCGTGGATTTTTCTGTGGAACATTTGATAAAAATATATGGATAAGAGGAAGGGAAAACCAAAATTCCTGCATAGACATGCAATTGAGATAAAAAACAAAACAAAACAAAACAAAACAAAACAAAAAACTACTTGGCTTTCCTCCTGAGAGGAGACATTATATATTTCCCTTCCTTCCCTTTCTTTGTTTTCCTTCCCCCAGCCCCTCTCACTTTCTTTTCTTTTTTTTTTTTTTTTTTCTTTTTGACGGGGTTTCATGTAGCCCAGGCTGACCTTCAATGAACCTTTTACTCATGGATGACCTTGAACATCTGATTGTCCCACCACCTCCACCTACTCCACCTATAGCTGGGACTGCAAGGGTGTACACCACCATGCCTAATGCTAGGAGTAGAATGTTGGGCAAGCACTCTAGCAACTGAGCCACAAGGCCAGCTGGCCAGTGTGGATTGTACTTATCCTCAGCAGGAGACACAGCAGAATGCCATTGCTCTGCATAAGTAATAGGACTCTTTGAACCACAGAAACATGTTGGTTTAGCATTGCAGACATTTCCTTTTCGTCTGTTTCCTTGCTTTTAGGATTTAGTTGGTATCCTTTTTTGCTACCGAGTTCAATGAACTTGGGTAATCAGACCTTTCCTGTGGTTCTAACTTGAGTCTTAGCTGCACCTACCCCATCTAGATAGCAAAAGGGAAATGAGAGGACAGAATCTGAGATTGAGTTTAAATAAAATGAAGTCAATAGAATGAGCGAGTTTATTTGTGTGTGTGAACTTTTTTTTACATCTTTTTTATAAATTTATTTTTTACATTCCAATCCCAGTTCCCCCTCCCTCCTTTCTTCCCACTCCCTCCACTCTCCCCTCCCATTTGCTCCACAGAGAGGGTAAGGCCTCCCCTAAGAAGTCTACTAAGTGTCTTATCATCTCTTTGAGACAGGACCAAAGCACCTCTCCATCCCCACACTCCTGTGTCTAGGCTGGGCATGGTGTCTCTTCCATATAGAATGGGCTCCACTAAGTCAATTTGTGCATTAAAGTTAGATCTTGGACCCACTGCCAGTGGCCTCATCTATTGTCCCAGTCACACATTATCACCTATATTAAGGGAGACTAGTTTGGTCTATACAGATTCCCCATTTGTCAGTCCTGAGTCAGTGATCTCTCACTAGCTGGGGTCAGCTGATTCTGTGGGTTTCCCCATCATGGTCTTGACTCCTTTGTTCATATTTTTGCTCCTCCCTCACTTCAATTGTACTCCAGGAGTTTGGCCCATTGGTTAGTTGTGGATGTCTACATCTGCTTCCATCTGTTTCTGGAAGAGGGCTCAAGCTTCTCTGGGGTTAGGAATTGTAGGCTGGGTACCTTTGGCTTTATGTCTGGTATACACTTATGAATGAGTACATGCTATATTTGTCTTTCTGGTTTTGGGTTACCTCACTTAGGATTTTTTTTTCTAGTTCTGTCCATTTGCCTGCAAATTTTAGGCTGTCATTGTTTCTTACCACTGAGTAAATATACCACATTTTCTTTATCCATTCTTCAGTTGAGGGGCATCTAGACTGTTTCCAAGATCTGGCTATTAAGAATAATGTTGCTATGAACATAGTTGAGCAAATGTCCTTGGGTGTGAATGTGCCTCCTTTGGGTGTATGCCTAACAGTAGTATTGCAGGGTCTTGAGGTAGGTTGATTCCTAATTTTCTGAGAAATAACCATACTGATTTCCACAGCAGCTGTACAAGTTTGCACTCCCACCAGCAATGGAGGAATGTTCCCCTTTCTCCACATCCTCTCCAGCATAAGCTGCCATTGGTGTTTTTTGTTTTTGTTTTTTTTTTATTTTAGCCATTCTGATTGGTGTAAAATGGAATCTCAGAGTGGTTTTACTTTGCATTTCCCTAATGACTAAGGATGTTGAGCATTTCTTTAAGTGTCTTTCTGCCATTTGAGATTGTTCTGTTGAAAATTCTCTATTTAGATGTGTTCCCCATTTTTAATTTTATTTATTTGGTAGTTTGATTTCTAGTTTCTTGAGGTTTTTTTTTTTTTATTTTGGAGATCAACCCTCTGTCAGATGTGGCGTTGGTGATGATCTTTTCCCATTCTGTATGGAGCGTTGTGTGTGAACTTTTTAATGGGTCTGTCTCAGTTGGGGACAGTCCCTTGAGGGAATCCCCTGGGGATTTACCTGAGTTAAGTACTTCTCATTTCTTTTCTGCTTTGGACAGTCAGCATCATGTAGAAGACAAATATTCAGATCTCCGATATGATCCCAATTGGAAGAATAAGAGAGAGGAGGCGCAGCCATTGGCTGTGGAAGTCTTGCCAGGGTCTGTGGATAGCTCTTCAGAAAGCCTGCCTGGGGCTCCGCTCTACCCTTCCAGGGAGCCATCAATGGGACTCTCGGCAGGGAAAGGCAAAGAGAAAAGGAGTCCTCAGAGCGAAGAACCCTCCTTATTTGGAAGCGAGTTCCTAAGCCCAAACTATGAGTGTGGCGCCACCGGTCAAAATGAGTCCTTTTCGGAACTAAGCGACAGTGACCTTCGAGAGAAGTCAAGCAACCTCTCCCAGTACCTGAAGAGCTCAAGTTCACACAACGAAGTTTTCCTGCCAGGATCACGGGGGCCCCGGAGAAGGAAGTCCAAACAATATTTTGTGGAGAAAAACAAGCTGACTTTGGGATTGCCGACTCCTAAACCAGACTCTTACCTTCAACTTCACAATAAAAAAAGAGGAGAGACCCGTCAGGAACAGGTGCGTCAGGAACAGGTGCGTCAGGAACAGGTGCGTCAGGAACAGGTGCGTGCACGGCTTGAGCATCCCTTCTAAGTTGCCCTGGGATTTGCGTTTGTTTGAAATGGCTGTATGTCTCTTCCTTCTGGGCGAGGATGCCATAGTAACCACTTGCCTTGATAAAGCAAATGCTTCCATACTAATGGGTACTTTCCCGCCGCCGACTCCCCCACCCCACCCCCGTTGCTGTCACTTCCTAGGCTGCTTCCTTCTCCTCTTCCCTCCTCCTGCTTCCTCCTGTTCTTTTTCTTCCTCCTTTTTTCATTTTAGAGAGAGAGGGTGTGTGTGTATGTGGGGGGGGTGTGGGTGCGGATATACATATGTGTGTATGTGGTTGTGGGTGAGGTCGGCTTGCGGAATCACTTCTCTTTTTCTACTCTGTGGATCCCGAGGATCCATCTCAGGTCACCAGGCTTGGTGGGAAGTGCCTTCACCAGCTGTGCCACCTTGCTAGCCTAGCTGCTTCTTAGAGTGTGAAAGTTACAACTCTATTAAGAGCAAAATGAAACACACCTGTGGTTTCCAGTCCTGTAACTACTAGGATTCAATTACTCTATCTAAAATGTCTCCATTCAAAGACCCATGAAATTTTTTACTGTTTATTTTATGTGTATAAGTGTTTTGCCTGCAAGTATGTCTGTAATGTGTGTGTGTGTGTGTGTGTGTGTGTGTGTGTGTGTGTGTGTGTGTGGGGTTTTTCTTCTGTGTGTTCCAATAGATGAAATGCAGGGCTGAGCATTTAATCCCTGTGTTGCTTGTCTTTGTTCTCACCTTAGCATGGGTTGCAGCATTACAAAGTGCCCCAGCACATTGGAAGTAACATGATACATTCACCCCCAGAACGGCAGCTTGCATAGGAAGTGATTCTACACCCAGATCTGTGTAGGTGCTGGGTGCTGAGCTAGGGTGACACAGCAGTGTGGGAGTGGCGTGAAGCAGAACACAGTATGGAAGATTTTTCTTTTTATTATTCAAATGACTCTATATCTTACCAGTTCCCACTGACAATAATTGCACTGCCCCTCATTGTCCTGTACATGTAGTATGAAAAAATTACAGCTTAGACTCTCCATATGTAAAATTAGAAAAATAATGAATGCCCTCTTTTTCCTCTTCTGATTGTTTTGAGGATAAGTTATTTTCTGAATAATGGGCCTGTTGGAAGTCAGGCATGGTGGTACACACTTGTAGTCTCATCACTCAAGACGTTGAGACTGGAGGATGGCAAGTATGAGGTTAGCCTGGACTATGTCGAAAGACCTTGCCTGAAACATGCACTCACAAACACCCACACCCACACCCACACACACACACACACACACACACACACACACACGCAGCAAAGAAGAAAAAGAAATGTTGTTGCAAGTAAATGTAGCTTTGTTTCATGGACACAAATAAGGACCTGTTCTGCTCACCTCCTAATGAATATGCCATATATACTATAGACAAAAGTAAAGAGCTTGGCCGATCAGTAATCCAACACCCTATTGGAGAACAGCTTGGACGTCACTCCACCTATGAAGGTGGAGTCCCTTTCCAGGGATAGGAATATGTGGCATCTTTGCCTTTGTAACTAACAACAAAACACAGGAATGGGTACAGAACATTTGACTGAATTACCAAAAGAGCTAAACTTTATTAGTTCTTAACATATTTTTATTGTTTTAAAATGTAAACATACTTTTTGTTTCAGAAAATGTAAGTGAAATTCCAAATTTCACTTGATTACTTACCTAAAAATATAAATGAATTCAAGAGTGAAAATGTCTATCTCTGGTCATTTCTCCTAGCCTAGGGGAATGCTTTTCTTTTTTAAAAAAAAAAAATTTATTTGCTTATTTTTATTACATATACAGTGTTCTATCTGCATATTTGCCTGCACACCAGAAGAGGGCACCAGATCTTATGATAGATGGTTGTGAACCACCATGTGGTTGCTGGGAATTGAATTTAGGACCTCAGGAAGAGCAGTCCAGTGCTCTTAACCTCGGAGCCATCTCTCCAGCCCCAAAGGGGAATACTTTTCATTGCTATTTTGTTTTCTGTTTTGAGTCAATGTCTTGCTTTGTAGCTCAGGCTGCTCCAGGATAGCCTCCAACTCCCTCACATAGCAATTATCCTACCCCAGGCTCTTGAGAGCTGGGATTGCATCCAGCTCTTTTCACTGCTTTCTAATGTGTTCCTAGACAAGCTTCTCATGGAAGAGAGGCAATAGTAAGGCCAAAAGAAAGAATTATATTTCCAGTATAAGGGGAAAAAAGATTTACACGAACTTTGTGGCTGACCCTTCAATTGCTAATTTTGGCAGCTGTTACAAGTTATCATGACAATCAATCAAGGTGTAATTTGGTTGTCAGTGTTCTCATAGCCTGGTCTCTGTTTTTGTTTATCACAGAGGAAACTTTGAATTCATGTTAGATTTTCTGTCTTTGAGCTCTTGACTTGCTGTTCGAAGGAGGTATTGACTTTGCCCACCCTTGCTGTGGGTTCAAATGCCTTAAAGCTAATTGCTTATAGCATTTGAAACTAATTCTCCAAGATGAACTTTTTCTTCTTACTCTTCTTATTCTTTTTTAAAGGGCAGAAATGTGTTTAATATAGCATAATGTGCCATAATGATATGTGTCATTTGTTTTATTGATTATAGTCAGTAATAAATTGTTATGTATGAACATGTGACAGTTTCTTCCACTGATACATGCTTAATTTTATTTGTCTTTTTTTCTTTGTCTAGTTTTGGTTTTTGAGACAGACACAGTATCATAAAGCCCAGGCTGTCCTGAACTCTCTAGATAGCTGAAGATGGCCTTGAACTTCTGATTCCATTTGTTTGGTTGGTTGTATTTTTAGTGAAAGTTTAAAAGCTGATTACTAAGTTCATAATAAGTGAGCATAATTAAAAAAAAAAAAGCTGTGGAATTAAGAGCAATGCTGGGACTGGGAAGAGGGAGATGACCCAGTGAATAAGATCATGTGCTCTGTAAGCTTGAGGATCTGGGCTCAAATCCACAGGACCCAATCAAAAAGCCTGCCATGCATATTTGTTTCTGTGGCCCCAGCATGTGGAGCCGTAAAAACAGACAGATCCCAAGAGCTCACTGCAGGACAACTAGCTTAGACAAGACAGCAAGCACTAAGTTCAAGGAGAGACTCTGTCTCAAGGCAATAAGGAAGAGAATAATACAGAAAAACACTCTTCTTAACTCTATTGATTTTTTTGTGGATTTCATATCATGAATCCTGATTCCACGCTTTCCTCATCCCCTCGCTTCCACTCTCTGCCCTTGCAAGCTTCCCCCCAAAACAAAATTTAAAAGTCAAACAAAACAAACAAACAGATAAATCATATAAGAAAATCTAAGATGGACACTCTAGTATGGCCCAGTGAGCCACACAGTAGCCCCTTTAGTCCATATATATTTACTTGTATTCATTGCAATGAGTCATTGGTCTGGTTCTAGGTGTCTGACACTCTTAAATCATGTTCTGGTACACATACCCACACATACAGCATACACATGAGCAATGAATGGTGAAGCCCTACTGGATGTTATATTACAAGGCTTCAAATAATAGGGTAATATTTAATACAGATATAGGCAGAAAATTGACCACAATAGAATGAGACATCTAGAAACAGAACCTAATTGTACATGATGTATTGTGTGGTACAATAAGAAATGCTGCACTATTCCAAAGGGAAGCCTGTGTAACACCAAGGGAAACAGCAAACTGGATTCATATACCCACCATACAAAATTAATTCCAAATAGTCAAGTGTTTAATTATTAAAATTAAACCATCAAAACAGTAGAAAAAACACAGTAAGATTCTCTTAAGACCCAGAAATATTTAAAAATCTAGATTACCTAAGAGATTAATAATTTGTCTTTGTGGGTATTAAAAACAAATATTAGAGGAAACTACAAACAACATGAAAATATAAGAAACAAACTAGGAAAAAAATCCCTAATTTATACCATAGGTAAAACTATCTCTAATACGTAAAAAACATCCTCCTCTACGTCCATAGGAAGGAGACTGAAGTCAGCATAGAAACACACAAAAAGCGAGGAAAGACAAGTCCCAGAGAAGTGAACAGAGGTGGCTACTGAGCACACATGAACATACTCAGTATCTGTCACTGTAAGAGAAGAGCAAATTAATACTACATTGAGATTCATTGACACCTATAATTAATAAGCATTCTCACCTGTTGATGAAAATGTCCAGTAATGCCAGGAAGAAAAGAAATCAGCACACCCAGAATAAAGGCCATGTAAAATGCAATTACACTCCCAGAGAAGCTAGAACATAATGTCTAAAAGCAGCCAGCCATGTTGCTTGGCTCTGCCCTGTGCTAGCTGTGTGACCTTGTGCAGGCTATTAACCCTCTTTGTGGCGCAGCTTTCTCGTCTATAAAGGAGATAATAACAGCATTTTCCTCATAGGGTTGTTAAGAATATCAAATGAGTAGGCTGGTGTACAGAGCGGGCTTAGATTAGAGCCTGAGTCACAGTAAGTGCTGCATATGATTTTTGTAATTAGTATTTTTATTTGGCCCAACATACTCCAGTCCTAGGAATTTGTCCTAGATAGACATGTGCAGTCTCGAAAAAGCAGCTATAGGACGTGATTCATCTCGGCCTTGTTTGTGACATCCAAAGATCAGAAGCCACCCAAATATCTGTCATTTTGGAGGGGATAGTGAAGGAAGTTATGGTAGATCGCACGATAGAGCACACTATGGCTGTTTAAGAAATGAAGACTCATTCTGAAATGCTGCAGTCAGTTTAACAGGATTTATCAGTAAGAGAAACCCAAGGAGTGAAACACACAGACACAGCGGAAAAATGAAAGAAGAGGAATAAAAAATGCACGTCAAGTTGGTGCGGCGCTCACAGCTATAATCTCTGCACATGGGGAAGTCGAGGCAGGAAGATTATAAATTTTGGGTC